TTGTGCATACTTTACTTTTATTTAGACCTGAATGCACTGCATTTAAGTCACATACAGTGGTAAATTTGAGTTCCAGTCAAAGTCATTGATTATGTAACAAATAACTTTGGAGCAGACACTGTGTTGGCTCCCAAATGATATGCCTGATCATAATGACGACTCAGCCCTTGATGGCAAATGCTGTAATCATATTCTAAGGCTAGTCTGATCTGCAGTCCACCAGGATGCCATTGATAGTTAGCAATGCAACTTGGCTTATTTGTGGGAACTGAAGAGGCAACTGGTCACTGGCAGTGGGAATTCATTTGAAACAGCTTCAGGCTTATTCAGTCAACGTGGAAAGCTTTAACTGGGCAGGCAGACAATTGGAATGTACAGTAGTAAGAACTTTTAAATTATTTTAGTTCATGGGGAGATGATGACTTAGTGGTATTATCACTGGACTGGTAATCCAGAGACCCAAGTAATGTTCTGGGGACCGCGGCAAGTGGTGGAATTCAATAAGAGTATGAAATTAAGATCTACTAATTACCATGAATCCATTGTGAATTGTTGGAAAACCCGTTAGGTTCATTAATGTCCTTTAGGGAAGGAAACTGCCAACTTTACTGATCTGGCCTACATGTTTTCCATACCTTTAGCAATTTCTTTGACTGTTAATGCCTGCTGGGCAATTAGCAATGGCCAATTAATGCTGGTCTATCCTTCATCTTGTCCATGAATTTAAAAACAACCTACCACTGCCGAAATGGACACACAGTACTCTACACTTAGGGAGTGGTGTACATTTCGTATGGTCACGAATGGATTTCCCAGGAGCTTATTTAGATTTGACTAGGCTGGTGAGTTCCTCAATGTGTCAAAATGTTCATTTGACCAAAGAAAATGCAACTGCATTTCAAAAAACTTCTTTTTTTATAATATCAAACCTGGTAGGGTGACATCAATCTGGATGCAACCGAAAGTTATCACTCAAACAGGAGAAAATGCCAGCATGACTTGCAAGGAGTAAAGAAAATTGTAGTCTTTTAGAAGGTAGTTGCCAGGTCTAAGTCTGTCAAGACAATTAGCTCCAAGTGATCAGTTGACCTTGGTGCAAACCAATTTTCCTATTTGTTACTAATTTGATTAAAGAAAGTTAAATATACTGTCGCCTTTTAAGAAGCATTGCTGATCTAAAGTCCCACCTGATTTTCTATTATTGATGCAGCAACACTGTTAAGATTGCAGCGCCCTTTAAGAATTTGATACTGGCTTTACTGTCCTCCATTGCTGCAATATTATTTAGGGATGTGGCCTGAGTCCTGCCCAACGCTCTTTAAGGATCCATTTCACCGCCGGAGTACCCTTCAGAACTGGGTTGGTGCCCACTGCTGCGGCACTCTTTGAGGACCCAGGTCTGAGTTGTTTTTCATTGCTGCAGCGACGTTCGGCTTCTCAATAGTCTGGCCTGTGCATCAGCATCAATGCAGTATATGTCCACAGCCCCGTGGGAGTGTAGTATCAGATACTGAACAAATGCCAGGTTTCTGGCTTGGTATCTACGTTTAACAAATCTTTGTATTGGGACGGAGCTGACAGCATGCGGCTGTTTGTTTTTGTCTATATTGTGACAGTGTGATCGCAGGGTCATACAAACAACCATTCCTGGCAGTTCCTGCAACCTGGGATTACAGTGAATCGGTGGGAGACTTTAAAAATCCCAGGCAAATCTTTTTACCATCTGTTAGTGATTATCACGTTCAGTTCCCTTTACCAACGCCTTTACTCGGTTGAAATACGAGTAAAATATCACTTCCTGCAAACTGAACAACTCGTAAAACAATTTCCAATTTTAACCTTTATAATGGGCACCCTGATCAAAATGCAGGTTCCGAATTCTCCCTCTTATTTTTGACAACCTGGTCAACAAAACGAGACCATCGTGGGTGTGTTTCTTTTTAAACTAACAGAATTGTCTTTTCCAGACGATCCACAATCCCAATGTTTGTACGAATGTATTTCTTTGCTGTTCCGGATCTTGTCTGCCAATATATTGACCGCTCCAGTGTCACATTTTCTGCTCAATCAATTAGAAGCCGCACAGCAGCCTGTTTCAAATAGTTTCGATTAATCGGCGCGGGGTTTACAACCTGAACAACCGGAACTACAGCCTTACCTGGTTCCAACGTCCCTTAAGAGCGACATCAAGTGAGCAGGGCTGTAGACTGTACAGATTTACTCTACACTAGGACGACAGTACACCAATTGGTTATGGATTATAAACGCATTATCCGTGTATACTCCTATAACTGGAAATGCTTGGCACTGCTGCATTAATTATAAATGAATTTACCAAGAGAGAATGGATGGAGAACAGGGGTGAGGTATAGGATTAAAGGCAGGTGTTTGGGTGCGTGGGTTATGGGATTTAAGTGGGCCTGTGGGGTGTAAGGTTAGATGCAGGTGTGAGGGGTTAAATGTTGAGGGGGTGAAGTAAATAGGGTTATGAATGGGGTGTGGAGGTATTGCGATGCAGTGGGGATATGTGTTGAGTATGGGATTAGTGACAGACGGTGTGTAGGATACAGGGTTAGTGATGGAGTGTGTGGGATATAGTGATAGTGATGGAGGTATGTGAGATATAGGGCATGACATTGAGTTTGAGTGTGGTGGATAGTAGCGTTGGGGGATTTCATGTGCAGGGTATATGGGCAGGAAAATGAGTGAAATGGTTCAGGCAGGTGGTGTGGGGTCTCTGTGGTGTATAGGTTAGAGCCAGGAGTCAATAGGAATAGGGTTGGGGAGTAGATTTAGATATAGGGCTGTGGGATTATTGGGGGTGGGGGTTGTATGGAGTTGTACAACTGAGAACGGTTAAGCGTCAACCACATTACTGTGGGTCTGAAGTCACATGTAAACCAGATCAAATAAGGATGGCAGATTCCCCTGAAAGACATCAATGAGCCAGATGAGTTATGGCAACAATTCGACAATGGTTACTTTGTAGTCATCAGGCCAGTTTTATTTTGAATTCCAATTTTTAATTGAATTTAACTTACCCAATCTGCCATGGTGGGATTCAAACCCATGTTGCTAGAACACAAGTCCACGACTAATACAGTAACAATCCACTGCCCCCGGGGTATAAGGTTAGGGAAGGTGATGGTTGGGGTTGGGGTCGTATGGGGTACAGGGACAGTGGCTGTGTGGGGTGTAGTTAAGAGTGAATGTGTCTGGTGTATACGATTAGGGACAGAGGTTGTAGATTTAGATGGAAGATGTGTCTGGGATGTAGGGGTAGGTGCGGCATGAGGGGTGTTATGGTTAGATGTGTGGGGTAGAAGTTGGGACGAAGGTTGTGTGGAGTGTAGAGCTAGGGTTACTGGTGGGCAGATGGGGTTAGATGGAGGATATATCTAGGCATAGCATTGGGGTGAGGGTACAGGGTTAGACGTGGGGAAGGGTGTGTGGGTGGAGGTGGCTGTGAGGTTCACTTTTTTTTTTCTTGGTGAGACGAACACTTTGCCCAGAGATTCAACTTTTAAACTGAAGCGTGGAGTTTCGAATCCCCACTCACCGTTAAAACACCATTTGTTTCCGCATTTTGTAGACATTCGATCACAGCATCAGCCCGTCACTGGGAGTTAATATCCACAAGATGGTGTTGCCAACGGTATAACTCAGGTTTCCTGTTGGGAACATCGCTGAAGAGTCTGGTATCTGGAACAGACTGATAACCTGGGCTAAAAATCCAGAGCATGGGCGCTGCAGTCACCTTCTGGGGCGGAACTGCTAGCAAACTATTCACAGCGTGATGTTTGCTGTTTATTTGCTGTATAATTGCCTAGTCCCCATAACAGCAGCAACTCAGCTAAATTAAAGGCTGTTAATTCAGTAATACAACTGGTCATTAATGTTTACATCACACACAGACCAGCTCCGTGATTCGTGGAGCAATCAAGGAACACATGTTGGCACCGAACTCCGTTATTCAGTTCCCACTAACGGACACGAATCTGTTCACATGCTCACATATCTTTGCTGAGATGGTTTACAGTGGATGCTGTACACGGGCGCGATACGGAGTCATGTGAACCGCTAACTTGCTGGCCTTCAGTGAATAAACCATCCAGTTCACATTCTGCTTTGTTTCCCAAGGTGGGTGGGACACAATATGTTGTGGCAGACATGGACTTGGCTTGAAAATTAACAAGGAAGTGTTATTTTGTTTATTGATGGCATTAATAGGGATCGATTGAAAATTATACCCAACCAAATCTGAAATCATAGCCATAATCTTGGTCGAACTCTCCAACACTCATTACCCTGTTCACTTCTACACTGCGTTCCGGATTTAGGGCTTTTCGCAGGTTTTAGATCCGATATTCTTATCCTAAAAGTGCTGTACAAACTCAGCAGGTCTTGCAGTGGGGAGAAAACAGTTAACGATATGACTCTAAAGTGCTGCCGGACCTGCTGAGTTTCTCCAGCACTGTTTGACTTTGTTTCAGGTCTCCTGCATCTGTAGTATTTTGCTTTTAGTTTTTGATTCTAATCCATCAGTCCTCAGCATAGACAAGCTTAATTCAGATGGGCAATAAGGCGGAAGTGAAGGTCAATCTCTGTTTCTCAATCTCTGCTCACCTCTATCTGTCCTTATCCCTACAAGAGACCTCTATCCCATTCAGGCTGAGAATATCTGAGAAACTCCCCAGCACTTTGAAAGTTAAGCTAATCCGAATGTTATATAAAAAATTGAAAATTGCTGGAAAAAGTCAGCCGGTCTGGCAGTATCTGTGGAGAGAAAGCAGAGTTAAGGTTTCGGGGTCCAGTGACCCTCCAGAACCAGCCCGAATGTTGCTGGCGACATCGTTTTCTCCATTAATATCTGGAGGGAGAAGTTCTCCTTAAGTCCGGAGATTTCGCCAGTTTTCGGGTTCGTAACTGCGGATCCCTGCTGTTTCCAGCTATTTGCCGTTAAATAGCGGATGCGCTGTTTGGGGGGTGGAATAGGGACGAACCGAATTGCTGCCTGCGATCAGTGAAAGCACTAATCTCTCTTTCGTAAAACGCTTAAGCATAGGCTGCTCCAAGATGCTGGAAGCGGATGGTGGAGTCGAGTGCGATTGAACGGGAGGTTAGCCGGCTTCTCTCTCTCTCTCTTTTTCTCACTCTGTGTCTCCAGTACTGATGGATCCGAGACTTGTCTACAATCCTCCTTTCCGTGCGCTCTTTTCAGTAACTCTCCGGGTTATAAAACAAGCGTGAAGTGGCTCTCTCTGTGAACCTATTCCGAGGAAGAGAGCACTTTCTGGATGTAACGTGGAGAAAGAGAGGCGCCTGGTTTCCAGCACAAGAATTGTTTATCCCGAAGAGGCAAGGGCGGTATTAGCATGTGCGGGATGGTTTTAATGGAAACCAGGCTGGGATAATATTTACTTACACATTTTTTTTTTCTCTCTCTCTCTCTCTATATATATGTTGTTGGTGTTTCTAATTTGCCATGCACACTGACGCAGGCGTGCTGGCGAGATTTCCGCAGTCCTTGGGAGCCCGCAGTTACACAGAGTTGATGGCAAACGGCGCGGAGACCGAGTCAGAGGCGGCCAGGAAGCAACAAGATCATGGGGAAGAGCGCCTCGGCTTTCACCTCCTGATCCTCTGTGCCCCTCTGCCCCAACTCAAATAATGTCAGCGAGCTCGAAACAGCCGGAGGGCGCAGCCTGCAAGGCAAAGGTAAAAGAGCAGATCAAGACTATAGTAGACGATTTGGAATTAGTCCTGGGCGATTTAAAGGACGTGGCTAAAGAACTTAAAGAGGTAAGGAATGGTTGATGGAGTGGTGGGGGGGCAAGTGTGGTGTGGGTGGGGGAGGAGGCCAAAGAAATCCAGCTTTCTACTGACATGCCAAAGGAACATCGATCCATTTTCGGGCGAACACATTTAGTTAGAGTGTGCGGAACTGGGCGAGGGAGCAACCAACTCCTGGAACATCTGCTGCCCTCGGTAAACTGCACCGGATTCCAGACAAAACTCCAGACATTTAATAAAGGGCCCTTTTCTCTCCTCTTCAGGGAAAACTGACATGTTCCGCTGTAGACCATTACACAATTCCCAGCCCCTGGTATCCTTTCCCTCCCCGGGCTGGAGAACAGACAGGCGCCTGTTTCAATGACAAGTCCCCCCCTGTCAGCCCGCCCGCGCACGCCTGGCAAAAGACACACACAAACACACACACACACACTTCATAACAACTTGTCTTCCCAATGAGATGTTAGTGAACTGCCTTGTTAGCGCTCAAGAGTAATGGGATATTCACTTTTTGGAATGAAATATATGTCTACCAATCCCTCAATGTCACTCATTGATCTAGTAATAAATTTATCGAATTCCACAATTAATTGCAGTGTCCACAGGGAATTAGCTGAATCGGAAATAATGATCTATCGTCAAAAATATGAATTATGTGTGATCCTATCTGTAACAGTTGTTAGTATTTAGTTCACGTAAATGCACATACAGTCTGATTTATAACTCTTTCCTTTAGAAGGCAGTATTCCAGCATAAATTAATTTCGTTTACAAATCTAAAACTCATTCTTCAGTGCGAAATACACTGGTCTTGCTGTGCTCCCAGGGTCTCGGCGCGCTCTGAAACAGTCCTGATTAGTTATATAACATTCTCATTTTAAGCTGCCACAATAACGTTAGTATTCTCTTGCTGCGGGGGTGTGGGGTGTTGTGGTGGGTATTGGGTGGGGGGGGTTTATTTGAGCTTAGAAATGACAAGGTATATCCCTGTCGTCAATCCTTTATTCATTTTCACAACCAATTGAATATATATTAATTACTTGACAGCCTTTGCTTCACTTTACTACCACTCCTGTTTACAGCACGAAAGAGAATTAAAAATAAAATCCTGAAGGTAAAGTCCGTAAGTAGCAATGAATCAAAATGCTGTCCCCTTGTGCCTTTGGGAGATTGCTATTGACACTGTTATCCAAATCCTTTCGTGGTCCTTTAGACGATTCTTCTGTTAGTTCAAAGCATCGTCCTTGTCATAGGGAGCAACACATGTTGTGAATGTTAGAATAAAGAATGGTTCGGAACGAAATAGTATGTGTGGTGTCTGGAGTTAGTTTCGGGACCACGTGCAATTTCTTTTTTTTTTAAATGAAAAGCCCGAATCGTCAACAGACCCAGATACATCTGCAGTTCATTGTAGACCGGCTATTCTTTGGCAGGATGTACATTTGGTACGCTATTGGCCCAATTTTCTCCTGCTGTTTAAAATGGGCGTGAAAAGATGTTTACTGTGGGTCAGGGATGAACAGAACTCAAAACAACAGGCCTGTGACAATTACAGCAGGAATGTTGCAGCTGCTAGTCACCGCATAGGCAATGACATGTAGTCGTTATAAAAGGACATGCTATGAATTTAGTAAGTACCTCGAATATCTGTGTGCATCACTATACTTTAAGCAATTGCAATGGAGTGGAATTATGTGCCTCCTGTAAACAGTTGGTAAACTGATTAAGCTTTGCGAATATATTTAATGCAATATAGTTAAAATTGGTATTAATTTATTGATTAATTTGAGCTACAATATCTTCTGTCATCCAGTAAATTAATTAAGGATGTTACAGTTTGGGAATTTACTTTTATTAAGAGGATTTATTGATCATTGTTGTTTGCAGTGACCTTTCTACGGGCATAATAAAACAAAATGAGTGAGAAAACATTTCTGATCACCAAATAAGGTATTGCTAATGCTTTGGGGATGCTTGTTTTTGATGGATATGATTTTGCTTGAGGCCTGTGGAGCTCTGAGAGATCAGTGCTGTGCTAAACTCATCTTGTACATTATGTACAAGAAGTGTCCTGGGGCATTTTAGACTAAAAGATGTTACGTCAACTTTTAGTTGTGGTTGTACATAACCTGCTGACTTTTAAGAAAAATAGTTCTCATGGGCTTAGATTTATTTCATGATGCAGTCAAGAACTTTGAACTTCCTTTCACCATGGAGTATTTAAATTAAAATAGAAATTGTGTATAAAAATGGATGGCAAAGTATCATTATCAGAATGTCATTACAAAGTATATGTCTTTAATTCCTTGAAACAGTTTATTTAGAATTTGCAATTTCTCCAATTTTCTGTGCTATGATTCTCAAGATTTGAAGCTATCACAGTGGAAAGCAAACAACAAGTATAACAAATTAGACACTGGTTATTAACATGGTTATGTTCCTACTACCTTCTTCAATACTATTTACATTTAGTGTTGATAAATATCTGAAATCTAAAACTAAATATTAGAAGTGTTCCAGTGGCAATATATTTTATTGAGTCAAATTTTAGTTAATTGTTTATCATAGATAATAAAGATTTTCCTCAATTTTTTAATAATTTATTGGAACACTGGCATTTTAGCTCCAAAAGCTGTGTATATTATGTAGCATAAAGAACCTCTGTATATTTATGACTGTTTCAATTCTAGGTTAAAACCATTGTGAATATCCATTAATCAAACTCATCTTTATGCTTCAAGACATGGTAACTTAATTCTGTAATTAGAATGACAAAAATGATTCAATTTAAATATTTTCTGCTTAAAACATATCCTCATTGAGAGATATATTTAATTGCACAGTATTAACACTCTTATTAAGAGTCATCCATTATTAAATCATCCACCCTCGATTAAGAAAGGTTTTTCCATGGAAATAAGGAAAAACATAATATATGTCATCAATCGCAGGTTGAAATTCTTGAGTTATTTTCATATTCATATTCTTTCAATACTGGGCCAAGTTTCGTATAATTCCAATGCATCTCTGTTGCTGGACTATACCATTCTTCTCTTTTGTCATTGGGATCCCCAGTACTTTTGTTGAAACATTCACTATGTTCTCACCTGAATATATGGTTTGAAAATCATTATGCCAGCTTCCACTGATAACATACAGTGACTATAACATCACAGGATATATCCTTGGACAGTATAGGTCTGAGGAGTTATCAGATATGATTTAACATTTAGAGGCTCTCTCTTTTGATTTTATTTATTCATAAAGCCTACAGATTCATTTATATTTATTATCTATGCAATCCAAACTCCAGGGGAGGTGATGACCTAGTGGTATTATCACTGAACTGTTAATCCAGAGACCCAGATAACATTCTGGAGACCTGGGTTTGAATCCTGCCATAACAGATGGAGGAATTTGAATTCAATAAAATACCTGGGATTTAGAATCTAATGATGACCATGAATCCATTGTCAATTGTTCGAAAAAGCCATCTGGTTCATGAATGTCCTTTAGGGAAGGAAACTGCCATCCTTACCTCCAGACCCACAGCAAGGTGGTTGACTTTGAACTGCCGTCCTGGCAATTAGGGATGGGCAATAAGTGCTGCTGAGCCAGCGACACTCTCATCCCATTAATGGATAAAAACAAAGTTGCTTAGCTCCATCGCTTCACATTTGAAGTCTCTAGATTAAGCATCTTGCGGACTTTCTATTCACACCACACTGCTTTGCATAGGTACTGTAGCAACCTGTATTGAAATTCCATTTGAGTAAATTAGAAACATAGGGCTGAATTCTGTCAGAAATTGGCTAAGTGTTAATTTTGCTGAGTTTTATGGAGGGTTTCTATCTATGAGCCTTCGTGCCATTCCACTTTGCCAATAGGGACCTGAAGTGCTTGCTGGACAGGTATGGATGTGAATGTGTTTGCTGCAATGGAGCATGCCCTGAGATGTAGGTGACTGGTGGGGGGCTGGAGGGGGAAACAGTGAGCGGGAATCATCATGTTATCACTCTATCTTTCATATTGTGAATTGTTGCCACTTAGTTTCACTCTGGTGGACGGGAGAACAGGAAATTGCATATTAATGAGGTGAGATGATGTTATCATGAGGATGTTTGTGCGTGCTATGTGTGCAAAATGGCCTCTTGATGCTGTCTAGCAGGAATTTCACTTTGCCATTCAACACTAGGTTGAAAAGTAGGAGATCTTTGCTTTCAATGACAAGAAGCTCTTTGCTGGCCATATCATACAATTCTCCCAACTTTCTTGCCATTGTCCATGGTGTTCAGAGGCTAGAAAGATTCTGCCTATATCTGTAGATCTGATTAAAAGGTTGCCTTGCCAAATTGGTAGCTGAATGATTGAGGAAAATTTAGTGTTTTAAAGAAATCATGTCTCATGTGGTTGGTTTGACTTCTCAACTACACAAGATGGCTAGTAATGTTCTTTGATGGTTAAAAGAAACACAAAGGCAGAGTTACAAAAAAAACTCATCGTCTCAGCTTATGGACTGCTAATAGCTCGTAAACCAATTCAAAAATATTTGTTCCATGAGAAAACTATTGCTTAACTGAAACACATGAACATTAAATGAGGCAGTTCAACATGTGTTGCCAGCACAAGAGAGAGAGAAGGCAGTAAGTTCTGACCATAGATACTAAAAAGATGACTGTTGACTTTGGAAATAAAATTGGAATGTTATTTGGTGCATTCAAAATACTGAACAATGTTTGGAAGAAATTCAGTGTTAACTTCTTTTTTAATATAAATGTCATTATTAAATAATGTTGAGCCAAAAAATGTTTATGTTCTATAGTTACCCTTGAGACTGATGAAATGGAAGATAAAGTTTAATCCTCTTCATTGTCAGTGTTGCATTAAATTTGATTGTGCTCACCAAAGTGCGTACGACAAAACGGAATAACCAACATTTGACAGCTCCAAGGAAACCATTGATCAGGGCCTTGAAAAGTTGAAAAAAAAAGCTGATTTGGCTTGAGTTCC